CAGTTGCTTCATTCTTTCTGGCACTACTAGTACTAGCCCTCTGCTCTTCCCCAGTAGCATATTGGACACCTTCTGACCTGAGGAGCTCATCTTCCGGTGTCATATCTTTTTGCCTTTTGGTACTGTCCATGGGGTTTTCATGGCAAAGATACTGCAGTGGATTGCCATTTCCTTCTCCAGTGGATCACGTTTTGTCAGAGCTCTCTGCTATGACCTGTCCGTCTTGGGTGGCCCTGCATAGCATAGCTCATACCTTCATTGAGCTACGCAAGCCCCTTCGCCATGACAGGGCAGTGATTCATGAAGGAGAAGCCATGAAGGTGGCTCTTTAAGAGTCCACAATGACTGCATTTGTGTGATCACCACAGCCTCCTGTGAAGTGCCCAATTGCCAAGCCCCTGTCATCAAAACCCAGCAAAGGTAACTTGGAGTGATGGACAAACTGTCCTACAACAGGTCATGGCTTTGTTAATCACCCCAAGAAACCATTCTCACTGGCATTAATATGAAGGTAATTATGCAAATCAGCTGGCACACAAACAGCACACGCTGTGATTGTGTGAGGCAGGCCAATATATCATGGATCCACGGTCTTATCTGAAGTGGTGCATTTAGGTCATTTTAGACCCTGGACTTAAAGATCTGATGGGACATGGTCTTTCAATGGTCATGTAAATGTCATGAACCACACAATTAGCTTTTCTCTTTCTCACCCTCTAGCCTCCATTCCATGCTTCAAAACTGCTACTACGTTTTGGATATGTTAGAGCAACAAAACCTCCAACCACATACCACACTGAGATCCAGTGTAGTGTAAAGGTTAAGAGTGTGGGACTGGGATTTGGGCAATCTGGATTCTAGTCCCCACTTGGCTATGGAGGCAACTGGGTGACTTTAGGCCAGTCACGGGCTCTCAGCCCAACCCACCTCACAGGTTTGTTGTTGTAGGGATAAGATTAAGAGCAGGCAGAGCAGAATTATGTTAAGTTGCTTTGAGTTCTTTAAAAGAAAAAGGACAGGGTATAAATCTGATAAAGAAATACATAAATCAAACAAAAATTCTGAGCATATTAAGTTTTGTGTTTTAAATGCTGAAATCATAACTACAGGAATAAAATGGTGTCATATACAAACAGAAAGCTATTGGATTCAGAACAAAACTTCCAGAAATAGAACCTTTTATAAATGAACACTATCCCTGTTTGTAGAAGGTGATATGAAATTGGGAACCCTCTGTGAATAGTGGTGGGGAGATATTTGCTGGTTTGCCCTTCTACCTGAAGCCTATCACAATGGCTCCTATGGTGTTCCAGAGCATCCCCCATCCCTCCAAAATCAATGGGGAAGGTGAAGCACATCTAATAACCCCCTCCCCTCCAATATGAACTGGAACTTTCTCAGAGCAGCAGTTGGGATGTGGTTCTGTGGATCTAACCCAATATGTAAACTGAAAAATTTAGCAATATTAGAAAACCAACAATAAAGAAAAAAAGAAAAGTCAAAAACATTTAAATCTTCAATTATTATTTTAAGTAAAAATGTTAAGTAAATTTTTTTTTCCATGGTAAGCAACACCCAATATTTATGCACAGAGTAAAAGAGACAAAACGAAGCCTTCATTTTAGGTTTAGGGAACCCAAGGGCCTTCAGATGTTGATGGATTACAGCTCCCAACATCCATGGTCATTGGCCATGCTAGGTTGGATTAATGTTTGAGTCAAACAACAACTAGAGAGCTATGGGGTCCCCTACTCTTGCACTGTTTGATAAAGACAAAATCTGTCTATTTGTTGGGAATGAAAGAGGCAGTTTTACTTGGTGTGAGTTGCAAGGCCAGGAAGATTTGGATTCTTCAGATGGCGAGGATGAGTCCTGGGAAAGTGAGTTTCCAGATATTGAGATGGAAGATACAGAGAGGCTTATCTCAAGACCATTCTCTCCAAATGTTCAGGCAGACTCTAATAATAGCCATGAACTACAACTTTCAGGAGTAGGCATTGGGTCAGGAGCTCCAGTGGCCAAATGAACCTAGTATGATTCTTGACCCCATAACAAGGCACCAAGAGAAAAGGGCTAGCCAACAGGTAAGAGGCTTGCCTGCCTCCAGAATGGTCCTCCCAGAGGGAGGGGTCCCAGGGCTACTCAAAAGGAGGGTTTTTGGAAGTAGTTGCTCAAAGAGTCATTCTGCACTGATTGTGCTTACTGGATGTGCATTTAAACAGATGCATCCACCCACCCACTCAGAAATTTAACTTGTAGAGAACCTGGAGAGGAACTTGATCTTAGAGGATGACAATAGTAGCAAAACATTTTCACAAAATATTTATCCCCACAAGGCAAAACAAAAGACAAAATAAGAACAATATGTGGAAAACAAGGCCATGGGAAAAGCACATTTTGAAACATTCACTTGAGTAATTATTTTCTTGCTGAAAAAACATTCTAGTTGTCATAAACAAAAACTAAGCCCTCTGGAAAGGCTGCTCTATAAACATCATGGGCTTATTTAATAAGCAGACAGATGAAATTGCTGTTCCTTGAAATTCCATGTTGTATTTGGTGCATGCTTTCATTGTTCTTCCAGGAATTATGATATCATATACCTTATTCAGAAATATAATGATCAGTTCTGTTAAATCATGTTCAATCAGCTTATATAATGATGCCTATATTTTGTTATTCATTTCAGATTTCAGAGACCTATGCCTTTCTACCAAGAGAAGCGGTGACACGATTTCTAATGAGCTGCTCAGAGTGCCAGAAAAGAATGCATTTAAACCCAGATGGAGCAGATCATAAAGGTAGCTTTAGTGTCAAATGGTGGGATGTAAAGTAATTTTATTCATAATATCCATTTATATTTTCCTGGTTTAAGTGAAGACTCATAAAAATTTTGTGCACTAGAATGGTTCAACAAGTCATATCACCTCATTTATGCAAGCCAGAATATGGTGGGTCTCCTGGCATTCTCTGAAAAGATTATATGAAATACCATACTTCCCCTGAAAAAGTAATTTGACCTAAAGGAAATATTCCTTTCCTTTCTTTTTCCTTTTTTATGTGTCCACATTAAGGTGGCAGAAGTCTGCATGAACACTCAAATTTCTTAATACATAAAAACATATAATGTTTTTCTAAAGAGAAGAAAGTACCTTCTATCACAGTGGTGGACAACTTGTGCCTTCCAGATGCTTTGACCTATAACTCCCATCAGCCCCAGCCAGCATAGCCAGTGATGAGGAATGATAGGAGTTGTAGGCCAAAACATCCAATATGACACAAGTTGCCCGTCCTTGTTCTGTCAGTATAGCATGATGGAGCAACTTAAAATACTGGAAATAATAACTAAGACTAGTTTGAAGTACACAGTAGCCCTGTGCTGAATTCCTACTAAAGTTTAGTTTGAATTGAATCTGGGAAGTTCCCTCTCAGATGAAACCCTGGGGAAATTCTGAAGGAAACAGAATGAATTTTGATAAATGAGCAAACTGTGTCAAAATATTTGTGTCATCCCTGCATCACCCATGAAGAATTCCTTGTCCCACCCAGCCCATCCTATATTATCCCTTGCTAGACCTATCCTAGCACACTAGAGAATCCAAAAGAATAGCTGTTTTTTAGATAGAGGACTTTGAGATCAAAGTTCGTTGCCCATCCAAAACCTTGAAGCAGGGCGGGAGGAATAACAGAGAGAAATAACTTCTCTCATTATGCCTTAAAGACACTTAAGCCCAACTTTGCTTTTTGGTCCATCTAAGTTCCTTACCTTGCAATGGTATGTGTAACAGGTAGGCTTGTGGATCTAGTAGATCCATGCTGTCCTTTCTGTCTGTCCTTTCCCCTTCCCCACTCTTTACCAAGTTTTCTGTTGGGACATGGAAGAGGAGCCACCACAGAACTTTCAATGAGGTGGGAATCCCATTCAGATTCTTCCCTATGTTGTAAGCATGCCTGTGTGCTTGAGGGGAGGGTGGTATTGAAAGCCACATACCATATTTTTTGCTCTATAAGACGCACCTGACCATAAGACGCACCTAGTTTTTAGAGGAAAACAAGAAAAAAATATTCTGAATCAAATGGGCACATAATCACAGGCACATTCCCCATCACTTCCCCATGGGCTGCACATCTGACAGACTTCCTGCACACACATATTCGCTCTATAAAACGCACAGACATTTCCCCTTACTTTTGAGGGGGGAAAAGTGCATCTTATAGAGCAAAAAATAGGGTAATCCATGGTCCCCTTGTTAGCATATTAGTGAAACCACCCCTTAGCATAATCCTGCCATATAACGCTGACTGGTAATACAGCCACCCTGCTGAAATTAGGCAGGTCTGGTTTGGTATAACCTGAATAGGAGGCTACCTGGGAACCCTGTATATCCTGCCTTGATTTTGATCGTGGAGGAAAGGTGCAATATAAATATGATACATATTGATAAAATGCACTAAACATTGTTATACAGGATTTTTGGAGGAAATGCAAGCCTCATAAAGCTGGAATTCACTCCCAAAGTGGAATTAAAGTACAAAATTTAGAACTCTGTAATGTAAAAATCTATACAAATATAACTTTTATTATTACAGATAATGGAAAACCACCAACTTTGGTGACCAGCATGATTGATTACAATATGCCAATCACAATGGCATACATGAAGCACATGAAGTTGCAGCTACTGAATTCTCAACAAGATGAGGTAAAAACCCTTAAGATTGGTTCACAATGGCAATAGTAGCAGACTACATTCAGTCATTGTCTTACATCAGGAATCTAGTATTAAGAGTATTTTTTCAAACTACAACTTCATTTTCCCCAGTGACACATGGGTCATGGGAAACTTTAGTTTTGAAAAGAAAATTGCTGCAGTGTATGGCTATGATTCTATATAGGTTAAATCACAAATTCAGATCACCTAGAATGTTGAACACCTTGTACCACTATCCAGTATTTCAATAATGGGATAGATGGGGCAATGAGAAAAGATGTTCTAGATCATTTTCTTGAAGACTTTACTTGAAAAAAATACATATTTAATTGTAACAAAGAAGTAGTTCCTAAGTGCATTAAATGCATTCTGACTTCCTGAAGGTATTAATTTAATGCAGGAGTGGGCAACTTTTAGCCCTCCAAATATTTGGGTAGAAACTCTCAACTGAGAACCTAATTCTCAGTTCTGATCAGTCTGGAATGCCATCAGCATTCAAGAATTCTGCTTCTTTGAAGATAAAGCATCTAGAAGAGGAGGGATTTATTAGAAATGAAGTAACCTCAATCAATCAATTCTCTTGATTGAATGACTCTTTCAGCTTTGAGGGGGCATAGTTTCCAACAGCTTATTCAGGAAGTGAAAAGGAAAAGAAATAAAGTTAGGGGATGTGCGCCATCTGCTTCCCCTTTAAAAAAAATCTCCCATACAGCATAAGGCAAAGGGTAAAAATTTAAAACACTTGCCTCCCAATTTGAATTGCTCAGGTTTGGGACTAGATGAGAAATTTCCATCCATTTAGTCTTGATTCTCATTAGCTGTTATGACAGGACAACCATCATAGGGGTGCCTGCAACAAACACTACAGCATAGAATGCCCCTGTTCAAGGTTCCAGCCAGTCAGCCAGCTGTGCCCTTTTCATCTCTCCCTACAACAATCACTCAGCAAATGAACATGGAGGAATGTTGCCCATGGGGTCGCAATGGGTTGGACATGACCTCACGGCTAACAACAACAACAATTAAACTGGGGTAGGTCATTGCACCTCTTTCCCCCTAAAGGTAGGTTTGGCTTTGACATTTTGCATTTCTGCAAACCTTGAATTTTTCATGAACATGCTGATACTTCTGCCATGTGTGCATGGAATAGGCATACAATTATTTGTTTATTTATTTATTTATTATATTTCTGTCCTGCCTTTTTCCTGCAAGACACAGTTGGTAACATCTTCATGTTACCTTCACAACAAACTTGTGAGATAGGATAATCTGAAAGCCAGTCACTGACCCAAAGTCACCTAGTGAGCATCATGGCCGAGTGAGAATCCAAATCTTTCAGGTCCCAGTCCAACTGTTTAACTTCTACATCATACTTGCCTTCAGTGAATGATGTCATTTTTACTACATAAGGTCCATGCTCTGAGAATGATTTTGCTAGCAATGTATTATAGGATTTTTCTGCTGCGGCAATAGGCTGCTGAAGTTCAGGACTAAGTGAACAAGGAAATACTTACTTAGCTTCAAGGGGCAACAGTCATGTGCTTTGGCAGATTACTCAATTATTTATCCCTTGACAGTGTGTGGGTCACCAACTTCTTTGGACTGAATTCTGAAACTTCAGATCTTCTACCAGTTTGAGTCCAGCCTAAGGACTAAAACATAGTGCAAAGTTAAATATCTGTATTTAATCACATTAGCAGCTTTAAGTTGAAATTATTTATTTTATACATGTAATCTATTATCTAATGTTAAATCCAAGTGTGGAATTAGAATGCTACAGGCCAAGAGAATCGGCACACCTGATGGGTAGGGTGATATATTACCCCAAAGATGTGGCCAAGGCAAACCACCTCAAGTTTGAATTGAGGGTAATCAGAAAGAGACAAAACAGTCATGTTTATATTCAGTAAATGTAACAATGGAAAGTGGATGTAGATTATTAATAAAGATAAACTGCATATACCCTTCCCATCACAGGACTTCTCAATACAATGGGCATTGTTCTGGAGCTTAAATTGCTTGGACACTAGTGTGCTCCTCATGCCAGGCTAAACACCAAAGGATAAGCTAATAAGCTATGGATTTGATAGGTTCCATTTCCCTGTTACAGAGGTTGTCAGTAAGCCATAAGCTAACCCTACTTCCTGGGCGGCAAACCAGGCAAATCTGTTTTGGTAAAGCAAACAGTTTCTTTCTTCACAGCAAGAACAGTCCTTTTCTAATGAGTATAATCAGGGAAGGTAGCTTCAAGACAATTCTCACTGGTGTTGTTTCTCATACCATCTTGTAAATACAAATGGATATGATGTGTAAGATTCTGCCATGACTCCAAGAAACTTGCATGATTTCTGGGCACTGCGAATGATCATACTTGTTGAACTTTAATAACTTCACCATTCTTCAAGTAGAGCTCATTGAGTACAGGTCAAAAACTGATTTCTTTTATAGTCATCACCTTCAATCAGACTATCGAAGAAGGGGCATCTTAAAATAATACTAATCGTATAGTAGTATGAATCAGGCATCCCACAGTTAAAAAGCACTAAGAAGAAAGCAAAAGAAAGGCAAAAATGTAGCTGCACAGATGATAATAAAGAAATTTCAATGCATGCATATAAAAGTTGTGTTATACTATGTATTATTGTATATAATATGTAGTTTTGCATATTAATTGCATATATTGGCTACTGAAGCCTGGGGGGTGGGGGAAATGTGAGAGCAGTCTATATTTGGGACTTAGCTGCAACCAAGTGCAATGTCTGTATGTTTCTTAGAACTGGCATGGTCATTCTGTAAAGTAAATTTATTCATTCCCCATGACTGACTTGACATACATACTAAAGATATTGCAGGGTTGAGGTGGTCATTTAAAGGGATTAATATGGCACCAACTAAAAACAGTGCTTTGGCTTAGCTTTACAGAATTGATCCCAACCAAACAAAGCACTTTAGGCCAGCTTCACAAGTCAGTCACTGCTTACATTTACAGCAGAACCCTTGAGTCTGTGCTTAGGCAAGTGGGATTTCAGAATATGCTTAAAGCTAAGCAGGCTTAATAGCTTTTCTTAGTAGGGATTTTCTGAGTGGGATTAGCAGAATGAATATGAAACAGAATCTGTCTGTCTATCAGTGAGAATTAAGAGGAAATTGATCTAGTAATTCCCCTTTTTCACTTTTTTACATTCTGAAAAATAATTTGAAAAGAGTAGTAATAAGTAGGAGGAGGAAATGCAGTCACCTGCACTTAGACAGGTTTCAAAGATCATGCACTACATTTTCATTAAGTGTGTTAAATTATGTAATATTTTCTGTCCCATTTGAAGTAGGTTTTCAAGGTGGTTGATGAAAGGCCAGATATTAGCTTACTTAGGAAGCAACCATAAAGTCCCTAGACATTGTCTGAAGAGCCATGGGGTAATGGGAATTCCTTCACTCTGAGGCTGGAAACTGCACTCTTTAGACAAAAGAGTCAGACATTCAACCGCAGCAAGGTTGGAGGAATCCTGAGGTTTGCAGAACTACAAAAATGCCTTAGGGGCAAAATTTTACTGAAGCAGGATGGAGAGGGAGAGCACCCTCAAGCAGCCTGAAGATTGACAATTTGAAGTTTTGTTTAGTTTCTTTTCAAGTTTAGTTTAGTTTTTTTGCAATTCACAAGTCTCCATTCCACTCACATGAGGGCAATAGGGAAGACTCCCTCCAAGAGTCTCATTATTATTATTATTATTATTATTATTATTATTATTATTATTATTATTA